TGGGGATGGGGATGGGGATGGGGATGGGGATGGTGGTGTTGTTGTTGCCGTTGCCCATGCTTCAAATAACTGGAGACAAAGGGACGAGGAAAACGGCTTTGTTGGGAAATGAGGTTAGGCCTGTCATTTGCGGCTTTGTTGTGCGGGATGTTGCTGCTGAGTGCGTGTGGTGGCAGCAGCTCTTGGCATTTTTGAGGAGAACTCGCTCTAAACTTGGTTTGTGGCACTGGTGTGTTGTTGAAGAACCTTTGAGACTAAGCTTTTCAGACAGAAGCTGTAGTTTTGTCATCACTGTTTTCATGAGCCAATGTTAGATAACTATTCTAGAGCAATCTGTTTCCGTGGTGTGACGGCCTGTAGTGAAGAGCAGCTTGCTGTTTCATCACCAGTGGCTGAAGACCTTTCTAGAAGGAAACTCTCTGGAAGCCCTTCTGGTTCTACAATAAGACGACAAGGTTTGGAAATAAGTTTTAAATAGTTTTTTGCCACTGGTGTCAGATGTTTAGAACAGATTCTGATTTTTGAAAGTTGAAGAGAGAGGGGAAACTTATGGATGTCTTGACAAAATTAACCCAACCTCTAACCGAGCTAGGTTAGTAAAATGTTTTATTTATGCAGGGTTTTTTAATGGCAAAAGCATAAGAATGATCCTTTTTTAAGATGAAAAATGAAAGTAGAAGGCTAAATTGACAAACTGGAATATATCTAACATGTAAGCAGTTTTTTTTCCGATGAAATTTTGTTTCTTGTAATGCTTAGGGGTTTTTTTTTAACAGTGCACCAAGTGACATGAGTAATCACATATTAAAAGTAAACTGCCGCACTAGATATACCTGGACCCAGAGTTGGTTTAGGTAATAGCAGTAACAAAGCCCCGATCACAAAAGTTGTATTTATGTTAACTGTAGGAGAGATTTTGTTAAAACTCCTGGGATTGCAGTATTATCTAAAGGTAAGTGTTGGCTTTCCTGCACCTAATGCCTCCTTACTTAAATAAAAGACATATTCTACAATACTTTATAAGATCTATATTTTTATTTGCAGTGGCTGAGATTTTGAAAATGGACTCCCAACAATGAGGAGAAAATAATACATAGTATTTACTTTTAAAAAATGGAATAATATTTGACCTTAGGAGTGACAACAAGTTAGTATCACTATTTCTTAAGTGCAAAATGAGTATTTCTCCTTTTAATAAATCCTGAAGCTAAACCTAGTCTTAATTGTCCAAAATAGAGCAGAAGTCAGATTCGGGGTGGATTGAATGTGTACTTTACTTTCTTACTCGTCTTTTATGGCCCTAACTGCAACTATTCGGAAGGATTTCTTGTTTGGTATTAAATGGAAGATAGCTGTCCTGAAAGTGATAATATGAATGCTGGTCCAAGATAAAGAATTCTTTACCTTTGGCTGTGGAAATTATGGTGAATGTTGTCCTCTTTTAGCCAATTTAGTGTAATTCCAGCGCAAAAGCAGAACAGTGTAGTTGCTACAGAAAAGCAACTCTTAACAAGGCATTATAGATTCTAGTTCTGTGAAGCTGTCCTGAGCTTCTGTGGGGTGGGTTTGGGTCAGGTTTGTGTCCTGTTTTTCCTTAACTGGTATTAGCTTCTAAAATGATAGAACATCTGTTGCTTAAAATAAAGGAGAGGGTAATTTATCTTCTGCTGCCAATACACAAATCTCAAAAGGGGTGGGGGGAGCGGAGTAGGAAATTATTGTCTTTGTTTTATCAATATTGCTGTTGAAAGAGTTATTGCTCAATAGATTTTTGATTCTTTTAAATTTAGTTTGTTAACTTCACTGAGTAGCAGAAGAAGAAACAAATTTTATATTTTGCTACACCTCATATAGTAATTACCACTTTAATACACAGGTTTTCTTTTGCCTTTTTTTTTCCACTAACTACTAAATTGGTAAATCAATTAATTTGGTAAATCAAAATAATGCAGGGAGAGCCTCCGTTTTCAGATCTGATAGGCTACAGTGGATGAGGATTCTACAAAAAATGTGATGAAAAATTGCCAATCCGATAGACATATTAGTGGTTACATCTTGAAATTTAATAGTCAGAAGTACAGAACTACATACCTTAAAGGTCAGGTTAGGTTTAGTTTCTAGTACTGTACCGTGGATTTTTCTCTTGCAGTGTTTGTACTCGTTAAGCCTGAAGTCGTTAAGTCCCTGGTATTGTTAACTTCTGGTACTGTACCAGAAGTCGTTAACTTCTGGTATTGTACCATGGATTTTCTCTTGCAGTGTTGGTACTCATTAAGCCTGAAGTCGTTAACTCCCTGCTAAGTGCACTTGATTTGAGAGAAGGGAGAGGATGGAGGCATTTACAAGGCCTGAATACTAGAAGCCATTCTTCAGAAATTTGAGACTTGTGTCTTTTCACAATGATGTATTTTCTTTGATTTTTTTTCTATACCTGTTCTAAAAAGTCAAAATATTGCTAATTAATATTTTTATCACATTTTTAATTTAAGGTGCTTTTACAGGGAGATCCCTACAGATAGACCTCTAAATCTAGGAATTAAAGCCTACTGGTTAGGTGTTTTTAATCCTGTTTTGTCACAGGTAATTAAAATAGTCTACAAATGATTTTGATTAATTCTGTTTATGGAATGAGGCACTTCTGTATTAAGAATGGCCTCATATTAGGAACAGTTCCATGTGCATAAAAGCCTTAATTAACTTTTGAGTGAGTTTCATTTGCAGTGTCTTTGCTGGAATGTGCTGGATCTAGATGTATCCATATGAGTAACTAGAGTCCCGGGTGGGCTTCTATGACACGCACTGAAATAAGTTCTCTGGCAGTGTTCCTGGTATATCAGCTTGTTACTTCTTTGACAGTACAGGTCCATTTGCACATTTCACCTGACGTTTGCCCCTTTCATTGTAGTGCTGTGGAGTGGGACTACAAATATAGCATTAGTTTGGGAGAGGTACGCATTCCATAGTAAGTATTCTAAATGATAGTTGTTATGCAGGGAAGCAAGAGAAAGCCAGCTTGTTACCTAAAACCACCACACAACCCTTCAAGGTCCTAGAATCAGCTGGGTTGGAAGGGACCTCCAAGATCATCAAGACCTACCCTTGATCCACTACTGCTGCAGTTACTAGACCATGGCGCTAAGTGCCACATCCAGTCTTATCTTAAAATCTTCCAGGGACAGAAAATCCACTACTTCCCTGGGCAGCCCATTCCAATGTCTGATCACCCTCTCTGTAAAGAAATTCTTTCTATTATCTAACCTAAACCTCCCCTAGCACAACTTGAGACCATGCCCTCTTGTCTTGCTGATAGTTGCCTGGGAAAAGAGACCAACCCCCACGTGGCTACAACCACCTTTCAGGGACTTGATGATAGTTGATGACCTTTCAGAGAGTGATGAGGTTTCCCCTGAGCCTCCTCTTCTCCAGGCTGAACAGCCCCAGCCTCCCTCAGCCTCTCATAGGACTTGAGCTCGAGTCCCTTCCCCAGCCTTGTTGCTTTTCTCTGGACCCGCTCCAGCACCTCAATGTCCTTCCTGAACTGAGGGGCCCAGAACTGGACACAGTACTCCAGGTGTGGCCTCACCAGCGCTGAGTCCAGGGGAAGATTCACTTCCTTGTGTGAGAAAATTCTCTTCTATCAATTTATAGAAACGGCAAAAAAACTTTCGCAGGACAAGGAAACTTACAGAAAAGGATCCTTTATTTGCAGCGCTGGGTGCAGTCCCAAGCCGCCCGCCTGGAAAAGCACACCCCTCCCCGAGCCCGTGTCTTTCTTATACTCTTCAGTTACCCAATATCTTGAATATTCAGCAGGTAACAAGTATTTTACCTTAAAAGGGTACTTTTCAAACTGGCGGGTGGGTGTCACCCTCCCACCTGATTGGATCAGGGCATACCCCCTGTACAGCTTGATTGATTGGTGACGTACCCCTCTGTACATGTACAGGGGGACCCC